TCTGAGGTCTATTGTCCCTTTAATCATAATATAAACAGTCATCCATGTGAAGGTATCTGAGGTCTATTGGCCTTTTAATCATAATATAAACAGTCATCCATGTGAAGGTATCTGAGGTCTATTGGCCCTTTAATCATAATATAAACAGTCATCCATGTGAAGGTATCTGAGGTCTATTGTCCCTTTAATCATAATATAAACAGTCATCCATGCGAGGTATCCGAGGTCTATTGGCCTTTTAATCATAATATAAACAGTCATCCATGTGAAGGTATCTGAGGTCTATTGGCCCTTTAATCATAATATAAACAGTCATCCATGTGAAGGTATCTGAGGTCTATTGGCCTTTTAATCATAATATAAACAGTCATCCATGTGAAGGTATCTGAGGTCTATTGTCCCTTTAATCATAATATAAACAGTCATCCATGTGAAGGTATCTGAGGTCTATTGGCCTTTTAATCTTAATATAAACAGTCATCCATGTGAAGGTATCTGAGGTCTATTGGCCTTTTAATCATAATATAAACAGTCATCCATGTGAAGGTATCTGAGGTCTATTGTCCCTTTAATCATAATATAAACAGTCATCCATGTGAAGGTATCTGAGGTCTATTGGCCCTTTAATCATAATATAAACAGTCATCCATGTGAAGGTATCTGAGGTCTATTGGCCTTTTAATCATAATATAAACAGTTTTAGGTTTAGGTTTAAAGTTTTTTATTATCATTTAAACAAAACAAATTACAAACACAGCAAGGGCCGAAGCAATGCATTATTGGCCCTGGTAGTCAAGAATTTATATAATGTAAAGTGAAGGTTTCTAGACAACTCATCCCAAGACAACTCATCCCAAGACAAGTCATCCCTAAGACAACTCATCCCAAGACAAGTCATCCCTAAGACAACTCATCCCAAGACAAGTCATCCCTAAGACAACTCATCCCAAGACATCTCATCCCAAGACATCTCATCCCAAGACAACTCATCCCAAGACATCTCATCCCAAGACAACTCATCCCAAGACAACTCATCCCACTAGTATAATTGATAAATTATCTAATTTGTCCTCTATATTATATATTTCCCTTTTTGATTTTTTCGATTACAAAGTGATTATACACTCAATCTTAATATTGATAATTTTTAGCATTTTGAAATGGCACTTGAAAGTTATGTTCTATTTTTACGTACCGGTATTTTTATTAATTCTGGGTTATTCTCAAATTCTCAATATATTTGAGAATATAGAATTGAAGATAAGAGTCAAAGACATAGTTTCCAAATTCAATCATCATGATTTTGAAAGTTTAAAATTGGAAATCTTATTTATATGATGTATTGGAATTAAGCAAAACATTTTAAAACAAAGACTGAATTAATCTGGGAGAATTATTCTGATAATACCCCGGATAATACATTCTTATTGCGTTAATCCTAATCTGACACCCTTGATGATCTTTGATTTAATGATCAAAGTATATATTAATTTGAACATGTTTATCTTTATCCCAATCAATCAACAAAAATTAACTGAAACTAGACTAAACTAACTTCAAAATACAAAATACATTCCATGGCCAAACACAGTGTGCTTACTGCTAAAACCTCTAAACATGTTTCAAATATTCTTTCAAAAGTTGAAATTAATTGTATAAAATTATGTTATATTTCAAGTTGGGAAGAGTTGTCTTGGGGATGAGTTGTCTTGGGATGAGATGTTTTGGGATGAGATGTCTTGGGATGAGTTGTCTTGGGATGAGATGTCTTGGGATGAGATGTCTTGGGATGAGCTGTCTTGGGATGAGATGTCTTGGGGATGAGTTGTCTTGGGATGAGTTGTCTTAGGGATGAGTTGTCCTGTTACCTAAAGTGAAGTTGCAATGAGATTTAAGGATCAACTCGGTAATGCAGAACAGTATATAAAAATAAAAACTTACTCATTTAAAATAGTAACAATTAACTGCAGAAAACCTGCAGTCATTTCAACAATTTTCTGATTTGTCAGATACGATAATGAGCAATCACCGTATAACAAATAATTTACCCTGTCTTGCTGTCTGAGTTGACCAAACACGGTTAAATCAAAGGATGGCAGTTCCCCAAGTTCTTCCAAAAACAAGTTTCGCTGAACAATGAATAGAGGGCAGTGTAATAATAGGTGCATTGTAGACTGTGATCTAAAGCCACAATTACAACTTGGAATATCAATGTTTCTAAAATTATGTGTGAATAAATGCTGCCTAAAAATAAAGTCACATCGAGTCTTATTCAAAGTTGATTCTGTCTTCCTATCAAGATGCAATTTTGGAGTAGGTAGCTTTATTTTAGAATTTTGAATATGTTTCCTCAGGTTAAACTTAAAACAATTTCTAGATTGGATAGCTTTCAACGAACTCCCGTGCAGTGATATATCACTGCGGCGGGCAGGTGTCTCACCGTAAGCATGGTAACATCGTAATAAACAACTGACGTGATTGGTTCTAGTCCCATGCTCAGGTCGCGTGATTGTAAAATTTTGACAATTTCATTGGTTGAATTGCGCGTATTAACTAATAAACAACACGTGCGGTAAACTTTTATCAACACAACTTTTACTCAGAATTCCCTCCGCGGGGATTTGCTCTTATATTTCATTGATTTTGGAATATTTTGACAAAATAATTATTGGTGAACATAAAAGAACATATATTTTATAAGTTTTGTGAAAAACAAGTACATCTGTGACAAAATGGGGGACTATCTTCCCCAAATTTTGGGGATTCCATAATCTGCCCGCCGCAGTGTCTATACCGAGACACTGCATAGGAGTTCGAGCTTTCAAATCACCAGGCAGTTTCTCCCATGCTGTTATACAAGATATCACCGTACCCTTTCTGATCTTGGCCTTACAGTGAGCTGGTATTCTGAAAGATCTGACTCTGCGTAACCGATTTACATTATTCATTTCATTATGATTTCTATATAAAGAAAAGGCCTGGTTTACATAGGAAGGCATTTTGTTGTTATTTATGACGTCATAAGTAAACAATAGTTTCTTTTCATCCCTCCTGGCCCCTAGGGACCTCCAAACTAAGCATGAGGTGACTTTGGTTGCATTTGTACCTTTGGTACATCCACTGACAATCAATGCTGCCCTATACTGAATACTGTCCAATTTAGAAAGTAAATTTAAGTTTGCACAATCAAAAATGATATTCCCATATTCTAAGTGAGGTAGTATAAATGCCATATAAATCTTCTCTAGATGTTGTGATCTTAAGTTATGTTTTAGTGCCATAAGTGGGTTCAACATCCTGTTACATTTAACAATTATACTGTTAATGTGTTCTTCAAAGTTTAAAGCCTTGTCTAAAATAAGTCCAAGATGTTTGTGACTATTGGTGAAAGGGATAGAGTCACCATTTAACACAATAGGAATTTGAGCAATTGGAGTTCTAGTTTTGGACTGGAAAAACACTTCCTTACTTTTACTTGTCTTAAATTTTAATTTCCAAGTCTTTGACCAGATCTCTATTCTATTAACATCGCTTTGGAGTTTTAGATAAGTTTCATGAACTGAGTCCTCCTTTTTGACAGGTAGAAAAATTGAGCTATCATCAGCATAAAGGTACAGAGTGCTATTTAAAACTGCATCGGCTAGGTCATTGATATAAAGTAAGAAAAACAGTCATCCATGTGAAGGTATCTGAGGTCTATTGGCCTTTTAATCATAATATAAACAGTCATCCATGCGAGGTATCCGAGGTCGATTGGCCTTTAATCATAATATAAACAGTCATCCATCTGAAGGTATTTGAGGTCTATTGTCCCTTTAATCATAATATATACAGTCATACATATTAGGTATTTGAGGTCTATTGTCTTTTTAATCATAATATAAACAGTCATCCATGTGAAGGTATCTGAGGTCTATTGTCCCTTTGATCATAATATAAACAGTCATCCATGTGAAGGTATCTGAGGTCTATTGGCCTTTTAATCATAATATAAACAGTCATTCATGTGAAGGTATCTGAGGTCTATTGGCCTTTTAATCAAAATATAAACAGTCATCCATCTGAAGGTATCTGAGGTCTATTGGCCCTTTGATCATAATATAGCCTATACAGTCATACATATTAGGTATCTGAGGTCTATTGTCCCTTTAATCATAATATAAACAGTCATCCATGTGAAGGTATCTGAGGTCTATTGTCCCTTTAATCATAATATAAACAGTCATCCATCTGAAGGTATCTGAGGTCTATTGTCCCTTTAATCATAATATAAACAGTCATCCATGCGAGGTATCCGAGGTCTATTGGCCTTTTAATCATAATATAAACAGTCATCCATGTGAAGGTATCTGAGGTCTATTGTCCCTTTAATCATAATATAAACAGTCATCCATGTGAAGGTATCTGAGGTCTATTGTCCCTTTAATCATAATATAAACAGTCATCCATGTGAAGGTATCTGAGGTCTATTGGCCTTTTAATCATAATATAAACAGTCATCCATGTGAAGGTATCTGAGGTCTATTGGCCTTTTAATCATAATATAAACAGTCATCCATGTGAAGGTATCTGAGGTCTATTGGCCTTTTAATCATAATATAAACAGTCATCCATCTGAAGGTATCTGAGGTCTATTGTCCCTTTAATCATAATATAAACAGTCATCCATGCGAGGTATCCGAGGTCTATTGGCCTTTTAATCATAATATAAACAGTCATCCATGTGAAGGTATCTGAGGTCTATTGTCCCTTTAATCATAATATAAACAGTCATCCATGTGAAGGTGTCTGGGGTCTATTGTCCCTTTAATCATAATATAAACAGTCATCCATGTGAAGGTATCTGAGGTCTATTGGCCCTTTGATCATAATATAAACATTCATCCATGTGAAGATATCTGAGGTCTATTGTCCCTTTAATCATAATATAAACAGTCATCCATGTGAAGGTATCTGAGGTCTATTGGCCCTTTGATCATAATATAAACAGTCATCCATGTGAAGGTATCTGAGGTCTATTGTCCCTTTAATCATAATATAAACAGTCATCCATGTGAAGGTATCTGAGGTCTGGCTTTGGTAGAGGTAGTTCTTTGATAATCTCAATCAATGACTTGCCTCCATTATATCCACTTAACCTCTCTCTGACTCTGGCCCTGGTGAGGCACTTCAGCTCTAAGGGGCTGGCACATTTTGTTTTAACTCCTGTCATTGTTGCAACGGCTTCTTCAGTGTTGAAATGGAACGACACATATCTGCCTCTTAATGGGCCTCTATTGGGGTCACATAAGCCAGGGAGAGCTGAAACAGAAATCTGAATACCTGAATGAACCAAAGCCTCTAGTGTTTCTGGGTCAACTGATGCCAGTATTTTCATAAGGTTTTGGTTGGACTGGATTGATTCTTGCACTGAAGCTTTGAGACAAAGTCCATACTTTATAAATAATTGCAACAGTTTGTATTTCTTTTTAGAGATTAATTCTCCAATGTGACACAGTCCAAGTTTACCCGATAGACTGCATCCTCTGCGGATGAGCAATTTAAGAACCTGGTCAAGATTTTCATCGTTATCCTCATTAAAACCACATTGCCTGGCAGCTAGCATGAATGGGGTCACGTACAATGAGTTTATTGGATCAGGATTAAATCCAGCATTAAGAAGAATTTCAACAATCTCTGGATTACCGCTCTCAGCAGCTTCATGCATGGCAGTGGAACCATCACCTGTGACAACATCTGGAGTAGCATTGTAGTCGCACAATAACTGAACTATATCTTGCATTTCTCGCCTTGCAGCTAAATGCATAGGTGTATTAGTATATGCATCTTTAGAGTTGATATTGCAGCGTCCACTTTTGATTAAAACTGCAGCAATTTGATTGAGTCGAGGTTGACAAGCTATATGCAATGGGGTTTGAAGATTGTTATTTGAGATGTTTACATCGCAGTTATGAGATAACAAGAATTCAACAACATCGATGAGATTTAGATTTGCGGCCCAATAGATGGCAGTTCTGTTTCCAGAATCGACAGCATTCACAGATGGTTTGTTGGATGTATCACCATCTAATAAGTCTTTCAAATAAGGAATGGCATCGTCCTTCTTTTCCTTAATTATATCAATCAGTGATACCTGCTCTTGTGTGTTTGCCATGTTGTTGTTTCCCTAGAAACAAAATTGAGCCATATATATCACATAATTATGCAATAAATTAATCTACAAATAATTACATTTATCATGGGCTTTATGATTATAAGCAGACAAGCAACGCAACAAAAATCATAACTAAACTCTTTACTTAGGTCCAAAGCCTTCTCAATTGTCAGATATGCTTTATCACGCTCCGTATACTGTAAATGTATTTATATATTCATTTATTATACCCAGACCTATAACAGTGTAATAAGCTGCGACTAAAAGATATGCATATAAGTGATTTATCTAAAGAATGAATAATAGTTTTTATGCAAACACACAGTAGCTGTCACACCTTTTATTTATGAATCATCAAGGATCATCATCATGAAATGTATATCAAGCTGTCCACCACCAAATATGGTAATGTTACTCACTTCGAGAGCCATGTTAGATTTTGAAACTTATGGCTCTCAAACGGAGAAGTGAACAGCTGATCAATAGTGACCTTTGAAATTGAATTAAGTCGATCCGCGGCTTACTTTTGGTCTCTAACTGTGTCTTACATCAGTATCATCAATCCGTGTAAGTATTGGAGCGCTGGAGTACTTCTTTTTCGATCAAGACTTGTAAATTGTTCATCGAGTTAAAGTTTTACAGACCTATTTCCAATATGGCGGTTTGCTAGGTGCGAGATACGCAACGAACGAAATGAATTTTGAGAATTAGTTAGGTTCGGACAACCTCCGGAGATTTACGAAAATGTCCGAGCAGAAACCGCCATATTGGAATTTGGCAGTAAAACGATTCACTCGACCTAACAATTACAAGTCTTGATCGAAAAAGAAGTACTCCAGCGCTCCAATACTTACACGGATTGATGATACTGATGTAAGACACAGTTAGAGACCAAAAGTAAGTCGCGGATCTACTTAATTCGATTTCAAAGGTCACGATCACTGAGCTGTCCAAATGCTCCGTGGGAAAGCTATTATATCAAAATCCAAATAGCTTTCGCAGGAAGTAATGGTAATGAACTTTACTCTTCATTTTCCAACATGCTTTGTTGTAAATCAATGATATAAAAACTTTTGAATATTAGTTTTTTACATAAACTACATATTGTAGTATTAATAAAAACGACAATCCTTACCTGGCACTGCAAGATAATTGAGCATTCACCTGTCAATCAGAGCTGACTCTGAACAAAACTTTGTTTACTTTTTGCTCCCCTCCGAAGTTAATATACTTCCGGTTTACTTCCGGGTTCTTATTTTCTTTCAAAACCGCTATAAAATATCAAAATGGTATTGATGATCACTAATAAATATGATATATAAAAATGTTGACTATTTAAACGTTAGTTTTTTGCCCAACGTTAATTAATCAATATAAAGTAAAAGTTAGGACCGAAGATTGTGACGTCATTATTTATAAATTTTACTCATTTTCACCTGATTTTGTACATTTTACATTAACAACTGGATTTTGACATATTAGGATCACCAAGATGAGCAAGATGGATGGTGAGTCTTAGTCCAACAACATTAGACCTAGCCTGGGCCTCGTTTCTTATCTGACATGTCTTATGGCCCCTGCTAGGTCTAACCTCCATGACCATTTTGCCCTTGATGTGTTAATTTAGTCGTTCAGCAGGTTCCGACATGCGGAACTAATTAAACTCCGAAAACATGGTAATATTACATAAAGAATGTGATTCAAGCATGCATACATACCTTATAAATACATACACACCATCCCGTACCCCCCTTAGACCATATTGATGCATAATTACGAAAATATTGGAGACAGGTTTGGAATTTTACGAAAATATCGGTCAACTCCGGTAACATCGAAATTGCAAATCGTATCAGGAATTAACCGTCATTGCGACACTGCATCAACGAACAGTAGGTTTGCAATTAATAACTATTTTGTGTGTATACAAGCGCTATATAAATCAATCAAAGATACCTGCTATCCTCAAAAATAGTTATTTTATCCCGAGTAATCGCGTGATAATTATCAATCTATTTGACAACAATTTCGTTTCAATAGTTTACATTTTAACCCGGGACGAACAGACACAATGGCGGACATGCGGAAATGTCATTTTAGAGATTGGTAAGTTTAACCTCATTTTACTTGTATAAATGACCATTTAATACAATAATATTGTGTTTAATCGCTTGATGTTATGTGTTTTTATATTGTTGTCAAGTATCAGTTGCATGTTATCGCGGAAAAATGGTTTCGGTGGATCCAAAACTTGCATCAATGGAAAGAATAGTAAGGAGGTTAAACTCAATAATGGCCCCAAGAAAATTCTTAATAATAAATAACGCCGTTATTGAGTTTAACGACGTTGAACTAGGTGAGTCTATGCTCAATTTCTGACAAAGTTATTAGCTTGAATTTTGTGTTGTTATCTTTATTGTTGTTCATTTCATGAATAAGATTTTTTCAGTTTTGCCTGAAAATTTCAGGGAAATCTAGCCTAATTAAAAATGAATGAGTTAAGTGAGTCTAATTGAATTGAATTGAATTGACCAACCAACTCGCGTCACAAATAGAAGCCAATCCTGCATTGATCATCTTATTACAGTCGAAATGTTGACACATGCGCAGACCTCTATTTAGTGATATTTTCATTTCAAATATGGCGGCCAATCCGATGTCTGACGACCCTTACAAAGAATCTAGGCAGTGTGCATTTTTACCTCCTGTGAAATAACAAGTGGAATTTAGTAGTTGTTTTGTGTTTTATTATCATTCTGCATCGTAATTCTATGTGATGTGGTGTTGAAATGTCAGCAGAAATACATATCCATACGATAATCGAGTGAATCAGATAACAGATTTTTCGAAAACACGTCTCGTGCTAAGCGTGTAAAAACTTGTATTAACATGCTCAAAAGTGCCAATGTGCACATCAATGTCAAGCTAAATCAATGTTGTGTCTAAAACAGGTACCTGATCTACTCAAAACAGCTTGTCATTCACGTATACACGGCTAGCAAACACGGCGAAATGATCTGAATCTTGGAATTTCGTTCGAGAGCTAGTAATGTTTGCTCCGGTCTTCGTCATAAGTGTTCATCAGACTTCACGCATGCTCAGGAGAAAAACCATCAACCAATCACGTTTATAAATCAATTTTGCGCATGCGCCTTACAACGGTAAAGAAATTCGGGCATTCTCGGTGAATAGTGCCCAAATTGAATGCCCAAGTTTTCTGTCATTCTAAGGGGTCTTTTTATGGAATTTGCTTTAAATTAGTAAAAAATATTTGTAATTTGCTTTAAATTAGTAAAAAATATATGTAACTGATTTGCAAAATAAATATAAAAAATTTCTAAAAAACTGTCTTATTAGTGTCTTATATTAACTCGGCGAATAGTGCCCAAAAGGAGTGTTTTCAATGGCAATTTAACATGGGTTGGGCACTATTCGCCGAGTTATATATAGGGAAGGATCAGTTCAGTGTCTTATATAACTCGGCGAATAGTGCCCAAAAGGACATTTTTCAATGGCACTTTAACATGGGTTGGGCACTATTCGCCGAGTTATATATAGGGAAGGATCAGTTTAGTGTCTTATATAACTCGGCGAATAGTGCCCAAAAGGACATTTTTCAATGGGAAGTTAACATGGGTTGGGCACTATTCGCCGAGTTATATATAGGGAAGGATCAGTTCAGTGTCTTATATAACTCGGCGAATAGTGCCCAAAACCACTTTTTTCAATGGGAAGTTAACATGGTTTGGGCACTATTCGCCGAGTTATATATAGGGGAGAACCAGTTTAGTGTCTTATATAACTCGGCGAATAGTGCCCAAAACCAATTTTTTCAATGGGAAGTTAACATGGGTTGGGCACTATTCGCCGAGTTATATATAAGACAGTTTTATATACATTTTAATTCATTTTTTTTATTTTTCAAACAATATTTTATGATTCTTAAATTGCCCTTTCATTCTAAAGAGGGATTTATTTGAGGGGCCTTATAATAAAAAAGGGGCATGGTATTTTTGGGGGAAAAGAAATAGAAAATTAAGAAAAATACGAAGATTTAAAGTTGGGCACTAAATAAATAGTGCCCAAAATACAATTTTCAATGTGTATTTAACATACTTTGGGCAGTATTTACCTATTAATGAAAATATAAAATTATGAAAAAAACTAAGATTTAAAAGTTGGGCACTAAATTAATAGTGCCCAAATTATTTTAAATATACTGCTTTTTAACAAATAAAAATATTGAAAGTTGGGCACCGAAGTAATAGTGCCCAAAATTCAAACCATTAACGTAAACAAACGTCGCAATCATGACTCTGTCCCAATGCGTTGGATTTTTGTTCCAGAATCGCTTACGCATACCATATGGCCATTTGTCTAAAGGACCAATTATTTCAATAATATCCATCCATAGTTTGTAGATTTTACTTTTTCCTGGCATTTTATAACCATCTGACCATTAGGCTAGTTGCATGTAAAGAAAACTGTATACAATGTACTAGTGTATCGTTTTTACAACTAATAAGGAATAGTTCAATATATAATCCTATTAGGATAAAGATATTTGACCTTGATTTTGTACATGCGATACCTTACATGTTCTGTTATTGGGCCATAAATAAGTACTAGTCATGGATTTGCAGAAGTTATAATTTTCCATCCAACATTGATTAATTATGGTGAAAAATGTACAAATTATTAAATATGTTAATATAAGGAATTACCTTTATCATTATTCGGCGAATAGTGCCCAAAACCACATTTTTCAATGCCAATTTAACATGGTTTGGGTACTATTCGCCGAGGTATATATAGGGGAGGATGAGTTTAGTGTCTTATATAACTCGGCGAATAGTGCCCAAAAGGACATTTTTAAATGGAAAGTTAACATGGTTTGGGCACAATTCGCCGAGTTATATATAGGGGAGGACCACTTCAGTGTCTTATATAACTCGGCGAATAGTGCCCAAAAGGACATTTTTCAATGGAAAGTTAACATGGGTTGGGCACTATTCGCCGAGTTATATATAGGAGAGGACCAGTTCAGTGTCTTACTATAACTCGGCGAATAGTGCCCAAAACCACTTTTTTCAATGGGAAGTTAACATGGTTTGGGCACTATTCGCCGATTTATATATAGGGAAGGATAAGTTTAGTGTCTTATATAACTCGGCGAATAGTGCCCAAAACCACTTTTTTCAATGGGAAGTTAACATGGTTTGGGCACTATTCGCCGAGTTATATATAGGGAAGGATCAGTTTAGTGTCTTATATAACTCGGCGAATAGTGCCCAAAACCAATTTTTTCAATGGGAAGTTAACATAGTTTGGGCACTATTCGCCGAGTTATATATAGGGAAGGATCAGTTCAGTGTCTTATATAACTCGGCGAATAGTGCCCAAAACCACATTTTTCAATGGGAAGTTAACATAGTTTGGGCACTATTCGCCGAGTTATATATAGGGAAGGATCAGTTTAGTGTCTTATATAACTCGGCGAATAGTGCCCAAAAGGACATTTTTCAATGGGAAGTTAACATGGTTTGGGCACTATTCGCCGAGTTATATATAGGGAAGGATCAGTTTAGTGTCTTATATAACTCGGCGAATAGTGCCCAAAACCACTTTTTTCAATGGGAAGTTAACATAGTTTGGGCACTATTCGCCGAGTTATATATAGGGAAGGATCAGTTTAGTGTCTTATATAACTCGGCGAATAGTGCCCAAAACCACTTTTTTCAATGGGAAGTTAACATAGTTTGGGCACTATTCGCCGAGTTATATATAGGGAAGGATCACTTTAGTGTCTTATATAACTCGGCGAGTAGTGCCCAAAACCAATTTTTTCAATGGAAAGTTAACATGGGTTGGGCACTATTCGCCGAGTTATATATAGGGAAGGATCAGTTCAGTGTCTTATATAACTCGGCGAATAGTGCCCAAAAGGACATTTTTCAATGGGAAGTTAACATGGGTTGGGCACTATTCGCCGAGTTATATATAGGGAAGGATCAGTTCAGTGTCTTATATAACTCGGCGAATAGTGCCCAAAAGGACATTTTTCAATGGGAAGTTAACATGGGTTGGGCACTATTCGCCGAGTTATATATAGGGAAGGATCAGTTCAGTGTCTTATATAACTCGGCGAATAGTGCCCAAAAGGACATTTTTCAATGGGAAGTTAACATGGGTTGGGCACTATTCGCCGAGTTATATATAGGGAAGGATCAGTTCAGTGTCTTATATAACTCGGCGAATAGTGCCCAAAAGGACATTTTTCAATGGGAAGTTAACATGGGTTGGGCACTATTCGCCGAGTTATATATAGGGAAGGATCAGTTCAGTGTCTTATATAACTCGGCGAATAGTGCCCAAAAGGACATTTTTCAATGGGAAGTTAACATGGGTTGGGCACTATTCGCCGAGTTATATATAGGGAAGGATCAGTTCAGTGTCTTATATAACTCGGCGAATAGTGCCCAAAACCAATTTTTTCAATGGAAAGTTA